ATATTAATAAATCTTTTTGAGTTTGTGCTCTTATTTCCATAAGTTAGAATTCTACAAGTGAAAAGACAGGATTGAGTGTATTCCATTTTCACTTTTGAAAATCTAATATAATTGTTTCATGTTGATTTGGATCCCTTTTAAGCCTCTTTTTTTAATTGTAAAATGCTTTTTCTAGTTTTTAAACTTATTTTTCTTAATAATTTATCATATAAAACATTTTTATATAATACATAACTTTCCGAAGTTTTATAACCCTTTGTTATACTAAATTCCTGTACTTGGATTGGGATTAGATATATTTAGGAGATGAAATACAACAGAATTGATACCTAATTAAATATTGGGATGGGGAAAGTATTAAGGAAAAGGAAAAACTTAATTATAACACTGAGTGTTTTGGCTTGGGATCTGAGTGAACTGTGTTGCTATATATAAGTATACCAAAAAGATGACAGAGTTCTGACATGCTTAGCAATAGATTTTTGTGGGTAGAAACATATAACTGGGTTGGATTGGACTAAAAGTCAACTGGGAGGGAGACACACACACCGTGTGTAAAGTCTTAGGTTGATGTGGGCAAAGAATTATCACTGACCCAGGCTAAATATATAGGGGAAAAAAAGATGGCAAGTAAGTCTTAGAACACATAAAATTTCAAGGGTGGAAATAGGAGATAAGTGTGAGAAAAGTGTCTAAGTAGGTGATAAAAGTCAAGTAAAGAAAACTAGGACGAAGTGGCATCTTACAGACAAAGGGGGAAATGTTTCAAGATTGAGGAAATGATGAATAGTATAAAATGTCGAAAAAGTGTAGTACCAAATGTCAAAAAAGTAGTAGTGCCATGAATGAGGGTCAAAAGTAAAACTGAATAAAGATTAATATTTTCAGCAAGGTAGTAACAAAAGCTTTATTAAGCAGAGGTTATTGGAGAGGAACAGGTTTGAGGGAAGTTTTTTTGTAAAGACAGAGGGGACTTGGCAATTCTTTTAAGCTGATGTGACAGTGCCTATGGAGAGAGAGCAGGGGTAACACATGTAATGCAAGGAACAGGGTCCAAAGTGATGGGAGAAGGGACTTCAGAGACAAGGCCAAGGGTGTAATGAAAGGTGTGCTTGTGGGAGAAGAGGTTGGGTGTTTTTCTGGGTATGGAGGGGAAGAAAAGGGATGGAAATAGAGGGAGTTCAAGCACGAAAGACTCTCCTGCCAGTCAGTAGAAAGCACTGTTGCATGGCAACGGGGCCTGGCAGGATGGTGAAGAGCAACAGAGAACGGTGACGCTCAGAAAGGGTCATATGAAGGAAACGCAGAAAAGCTGCTCAGAAGTTAGAGGGTCATCTCAAGGTGAATTCAGAGTCTGCGAATGTGTAATCTACATCACATCCTGCGAATGTGCACTGATGCTCGTCTACATCACTGGAATCTCCTCCGTGAGTGATCAGCAGGCTGGCTAGAGGTGCAGACACAGTTCAACTGATTCACTGTTGTAAATGAGATAAGTAAGTGGATAAATAAGGCTATTGGCAAGAGAATAATTAGTCATGGAGTCTTGTCTATTTCATAAAGAAAATAAAGGCAGGAGAATATGAATAAAAGAAAAATAACAAAGGAGAATCAAGGAATCAAGAGCTCTTGATTAGGTAGAAAAAAAAGTATTCATCTTTTCTCTATATTCACACAATCTCCCAAAATATATCATTTAAATACTCATAAATATTCTAAGTTATCTTTTCAGATAAAGGAAAAAAAGGGTTGATGGAATATATCTTAAGAATCCTGGCACTGGGAATTTACCGATTTTACTTTGGACTATTTAGGAATAATTGATAAGATTCAAAACTAGAGATAATATGTACATGTTCCCTTTTAAATATTAACATATTAAAATTATGTCAATATTAGATTTAGCTTTGCATGGGAAGTTTAGAAAGAAAGTTTTCCTTTATTTATTCAAGTTAATTTTATGAGATTTCAATAAAATAAGATTTCGAAGAAAGAGGACTTTTAACAACAAAGTGAAATAGCTAGAGTTCTCCATACTATAATTATCTTTACTCTCATGAACCTTGCATACTAACATTTCAATTGAAAACTACATTTTAAGTTTAAAAACACACTAATCCCTCCAAAACAAGCTTATGAATAACTTCCTCTTACCTGCCGTAAAGTACGTGCAACTATGCTTTCCAATACTGGTCCTCTATCTTCATGCAGCAAATGAACTTCATCAAGAATAAGGAGTCTCACAATTTGGGAAAGAGCTACATCCCCAACACTCTTTCTTGTCACTACATCCCATTTTTCTGGTGTGGTCACAAGCATCTATAAGATAAGAAAATACCATCAAATTCAAAAGGGAAAAAAGTCACATAAATTATTTAAATTTCAACTTAGTCACTCAAAAAGAAATAATTTTGGCCATTTCTCTACACATCAAATGAAAGCATTTAAACTTTCCCACATACCTAATTTACTACAGACAGCATTCATTTTGAAAGGGCTATACTTTAAGCTATGATACTAACTGATATTTAAAAGTCATTGAACACATGAGCGGCGCCTGTGGCTCTGTGAGTAGGGCGCCAACTCCATATACCAAGGGTGGTGGGTTCGAACCTGGCCCTGTCCAGATTGCAACAACAACAAAAAATAGCAGGGCATTGTAGCGGGTAGCTGCAGTCTCAGGTGCTCGGGGGGCTGAGGCAAGAGAATCGCCTAAGCCCAAGAGCTGGAAGTTGCTGTTAGCTGTGATGCCATGGCACTCTACCGAGGGTGATAAAGTGAGACTCTGTCTCTAATAAAAAAGTCATTGAACACAGTTGGTCAGCAAATTGTAGTGTGAGGTATATAAAATACAGGCAGTCCCTGAGTTACAAACATCCAACTTACATACAACTGACACTTATGAACAGGGCTGTTACAGGTAATAGGTAAATGTCCTGTTCCAAATAACATACAAATTCACCTTCAGAAAAAACCCCACAGAACCTATCTCTTTCATAATCTGAGGACTAGCCATACACAAATTTTTATAAATGGTATCATTACAATGTTAAAAAAACCTCCACTATCTTTTAAAGTAGCTCATATACTGATAATGGACTTTATCTGAAAAGGGAAAAGAAGTGAAGAAAACATTAAAAAGACATGAAAGAAAAATAAAAAATCCACTCTAGGATTAAATCTACTTTGGATAATAATGGATTTTAAATAACACAAGATATATGTATTATCATAAACATACCCATAGATCACTTGCTAACAAATCTTTCCATTAAAACTCCTTGAAAACACATCCATTTGTTTAAAAAAAAAATCAGCAATTCTAAACTGTAACATTAAAATATAAAATGAAGCTGGTTTAGTAAATGTAAATTAGTAAATGTTAGGAGAGCACAAAGTAAACTATTAAGTTATAATAATAAATACAAAGCCTGGCTATCTACCTCACCACAAATGTAGAATACTGTGCCAGCTCTTTCTTATAATTAACTTTAGGAGACAATAATGTGGTACCAAATTGTAAAATCAAGTTTTTCCAATATCAGAAAACTATACAGGTTGAGTATCTCTAATCCAAAGATCTGAAATCCAAATGCTCCAACAAGCATTTTCTTTGAGCGGCAGGTCAGCATTTAGAAAGTTTCAGGTTTTGGAGTATTTTGGATTTCAGATTTTTGGATTAGAGATGCTTAACTTGTACCTCCAAATGTTAAAAATCCTTCCTAGCATTTTGTTTTCTATATTTTACTTTCAGTACAGTGAGAAATGCTTCATTTACATCTTTTTTGACCACTTCACTTCTCTGAACTAAAATGGCTAGAAAATAAAGTGTCACATTTCCCTAACAAATTGGGACTCATGCAAGACATTTCCATCTGCTCCTGTATTAGGGCATGGGTTAATTGTCAATATTTTAACTGTCAACTTAAATTTTTCTCAGTACATGTACTTACTCACTCAGCAGTATAAAACTCATTATTCAAAAATGTCCCAGTTTTAGCCCATCCACTGGGAAAATGGCACAGTTGAGATGCTTATACACTACCAATATGCCAAGAAATTGGTATATTTGATTTTAAAATACTTTTAGTTTGATAACAAAACCAAAGAATGTAAGACTTGCCAGAACAACTCATCTTAAACATTATTATTAAAATGTGCCTTACATTTGTATATAGTAAAATACTTAGTTTTCCATGATTATTTCATGACTATTCAATTACCCTTTTTCTCTAGGTGAAGTACATTTTTCTTTGAAGAGGGGAAGGGTAGAGAAAAATAGTAAAACTTCTAATCTGCAGTCTTTATAAATGTTTGCATAATTCACAAATGGGACATGCAGCAAAACCTTTACCAAACATTCCAGAGAGGCAGTGCTTCAATGAATGATGAATGTTTTGCCTGAATCCAAGTACTTATAGACTCATCCCAAATCTATTTTGTTGAATTTTAAGCCAAAAATTACAAAAGTGATCACAAGGACTCTTGCCAAATAATACCTATGAGAGAAATGAATTTGAGTATGAGTTTTATATTTTGTTCTTTTTTTGTTTTTACCCCATGTATAGATTTAATTAATCTAATGCTCCTTACAAACAGAAATGCAAAGATTCGATAGGTAGCAAAGACCATTACTGTATCAGCCAGTTAACAATTACAGGCAGATAATCAGCTTCCAATGTCAGACCCCAGAGCCATAGGTCAGGGTTTTCTGGGTTTATAAGAAAAAACTACATTTTTTAAATGTATTTTATTCATAGTTTTTACTCTACAAATAGTTATTAGAGAGATGAATATTAAAAAGTAAGTAATGTTACTGGAGAGGCCTGATAAAGAACTGAGTGAGA